AGCCGGGTTTTGCCCCATACGATGGGATTCGTGAATGGTCGCCGTTCCATGAGAGTTTCGGGCGTAGACCTTCATCTGGTGAGTCATCTCGTCTTGCCCTTGGTCACTTTGCCCTTTGTTCTGTATTTTCTTCCCCCCTATTTCCTCTTTGGTTTAAGGCTTTAAGCTTCTCTCGTTGGTAGGTCGCCGGATCTGCACCGATTGCGGCTACAAGTGAGAGCGTTCAGGCCGCTGATACTTTACAGACTACGGCCCCTCCCGGACTCGGCCGTCGTAAGGTCGCTCGTCAGGCAAAAGATCTGAATTCCCGCAGCTCATTTGGTGGACGAATCGTCTCAGGACGATGGCGAAGAGGCTCTATTAAAGAGGCGGAGAGTAAGGGTTGATGGGGTACCCAGGACCGAGGAGCCTTCGAGGGGCGATCCCGTGTTGGCAGTGTCTAAGTCAGCTGGTGATGCCAATTTAGATGAGGAGACCGTATCCCCCTCGAGCGTGGAGATGGTGCTCGTTTCTGGCGTGGGGGAGTCTACCGTGGTAGGGGGACAGAGCCTGGAGGCCGCTGCGATCATTCCGAGTGGTCCATCGACTTCACAACGGGCCCGTGCTTGCTTTTCGGCCAGCGAGAGGGCAAAGGGCGTGGTTATATATGACTACGAATCCTGTTCAGACATTGACCCCGGGGACATAAGCATGTTTGAGGCGGGGTTCACTCGGGTGGAGGCGGGAACGGATAATTCCTCCCGCCTGATTGAGATTTCTTCAGATTGCGATTTGTTGGAGGACAAGGTGAGCCTGGTGCCCCAATTTGCCCTTCTTTGTTCCGCTACTGAAAGCAGGGCCCTTTAGGAGATCTACGATATTGGCCTATCACGGGGCGTAGCCGGCATGGCTTTGAGGGTAAGTTTATTGCTTTCTTCGTTTTACGTCTTCCACTCTTGTTGACTTGCTCTCTCTGTTCTCTCTTCTTTCTTCAGACTTTCATTTTGAAGACGGAGAGTATCCGCCGTGAGGAGAGGCGGGCTGCCACTTTTCAGAAAATTGTTTCAAAGTACCACTGATACCGTGACAAGTGTCACGAGATGCATGCACGACTCGGGGCAGGCGGCAATCTTCAGTCCCTTAGGAAAGAGTTGGAGCAGAAGGACGAGGACCCGATGCGGTCCATTGGAAAATGCAGCGAACTCGAGGGACTGCTTAGGTCTAAAGAAGAAGAGCTCGAGGTAGGCAAGGGTGTTGCGACTGAGTGTGTTGATCTTCAGGCGAAGGTGGTGGCCCTGCGGGCGGAGCTTGAGCAGAGTGACATTAGAGTTGCTGGTCTAGGTGTTGAATTGGTGGAGAAGGTGACCGACTTAGAAAGGAAGGCGACCGAGCTGGAGAGGGCTGAGGGAGCCCAAGTAGCGGCCTTGGCGAGGGCTCCGGCACTGGAAGATACTATCCACGTTCTCAGGTCTGAACGAGCAACTGAGATGGAAACAGCCGCTCTGAGGGAGCGCGGCTTGATGAGCGAATTGGCGAGCTTGAGAGAGACGTCTCGAGTCTGGGTGATCAAATTATTGCTCTCGAGGATGAGAGGGTGCAATTATTGGCTTCGACTCCTCTTGCGTCCGTCTCTGTTGACGTTCCTCCCCCTTTGTACGAGATGTGGATCCACGCTGAGGCTCAGCGGGATATATATAAGGGCTTGTTGGCAGTGGGGAATGTTCCTGAAGCCACTTTCGAAGAAGCTCATGTTAAAGCGCGTGGGGCCCGGCTTGCCTGCGGCTATGACCCCGCGACACCGGAGGTCGGTGGAGGCAATGAGGCCGAGGACGGGCTTGCCTTTGATGATGAACATTTTGATGGAGAAGGTGACGGTGGAGGTAAAGCCGCTAAACCAAGCAGGGAGAGAGATGATGGCGTGGATGGGAATAATGCTGAGTGAAGCTTTTGTACTTAACTTTTCCTCCTGTATCTAGTTTTTCTATACTTAGTTAGTTGGGTGGGGGCCTCCTTTTGGCCCTTTGTAAGATGCTATTTTTCTTTTGAATGGAACAATTGATTTGTCCTTGGTTGTACGTCTTTGTCCTTTCTTTCTCTTCTTTTCGAATTTCTAGGATCTTCTTGCAATAAGTCTCTGACTTTCGGTAGTTAATTCAAGCCAGGTTGAATTTGACTTGCCAATTCGAGCAAGGTCGAATTTAGACTTGTTGATTCGAGCGAGGTCGAATTTGACTTGCCAATCCGAGCGAGGTCGAATTTAGATTTTTTGATTCGAGCGAGGTCGAATTTAGAGTCGTAATTCGAGCGAGGTCGAATTTGTCTTGCTAATTCGAGCGAGGTCGAATTTAGACTTGCTAATTCGAGCGAGGTCGAATTTAGACTTGTTGATTCGAGCGAGGTCGAATTTAGACTTGCTAATTCGAGCGAGGTCGAATATAGAATTGCTAATTCGAGCGAGGTCGAATTTGTCTTGCTAATTCGAGCGAGGTCAAATTTTGACTTGCTAATTCGAGCGAGGTCGAATTTAGACTTGTTGATTCGAGCGAGGTCGAATTTGTCTTGCTAATTCGAGCGAAGTCGAATTTAGACTTGCTAATTCGAGCGAGGTTGAATTTAGACTTGTTGATTCGAGCGAGGTCGAATTTTTCTTGTTGATTCGAGCGAGGTCGAATTTAGACTTGCTGTAAATTCGAACGAGGTCAAATGTACATTTGTTGTGTTGGTCGTGATATGTAAACTTGGTGGAGTTACGTAAGAGTTTTGTATGTTGCTTCACTTACTCATTTATTGGAGAATACTACATGTTGATGTACGGTCCGTACATACAATCGAGGAGTCCCAATCTATCTAGTCCCATCATTGCTTGGCCTGGAGAGGTAGTTGATAGGCCGAGCAATGAATGTCTTGCTCAAGCTTCGGGACGTCTCAATGTATGTACAGGATCGAATTTTAGCTAGTTGTGTCGTCGCATAGTGTCTTCGGCGAGCGCGTGGGTGAGTTTCACGCACTTGTGTTTTGTCTGCATGTTGGAGAGATTCGTATGTTTTCTAGGCTGGTGACCCAGTCCCAATCTATACAGACTTTTCTTTTATGGCGTTGAGTACCAATTTATTGGGGGGTTTCGCTCGGTCGTTGCCTGCAGGATGATATGGCATGGAGCGTTTTCTTGGTGTGCTATTTTGATGGCGTTTGTTCCCTGTTCGCATGTCGGTGAGTATGCCCCTGTTCCAGTCCCACTCTGAAAAGAAATAGAAAGTTAAAGCCAAACGAAATCGTTTGTTACCTCGACTGATTAGTTGACGAGTGGGAGGGAGCGACCATGCTCTCTTCTTTGGCTATGTTTCGTAGCTGCTATTATTGGTTAAGCTAATATTCATCGAACTCGGATGGCATATTGTGGGTCTTTGTCTTGGTGTTTTTGCTGTCTCCGCTACTTGGGTCTGGAAAGTCCCCTCGATCTGATTGGCAATGAACTGAGAGTGCTAGCTCCATATCCGATCTCAGCCTCGTACTTAGCTTCGGCATTAGTCGAATCTGGGCACCTTGTGGGCTGATGACTTACTTCAACCATTGGGATCTTCGAGTTCAAGTCCCAACTCGATCCAGTCCCGAGAGCGTGAAGATACGGAAACATAGGCCGCACCACACAGGTGAAAGGATGAAGTTACAACGAACGGGAAGTAGAACTAGAACCGAGTTTAGATCTAGAGGAAACTAAAACTTTGGCTAGAAAACCCCCACAGACGGCGCCAAATTATTTGACCAAAAAGTTTCAAACCTTTTTATTAAACTAATTAAATAAGAAGATATAGGGTAAATCCTAGCCAGAGATAATTTATTCTAGATCTGAGATAGAAGACAGGAATAAACAAGCATAGCTTAACGTAAAATTTGATTACAGTCGCGATTGGATTCCATAATAATATAAGAAAAGTAATATGGCTTCCATAATATCAAATGATAACGAAGAATACATAAAGGAAGAGAATCACCATTCTTGAACAAGGTAGACCTACATCTACTTGATAAAGTTGAACTACAAATAAAAATGCCAGGATCCCGAGATTTATCTCCTTTTTGGCGAAGGGCCTGAGAGGATCAAACCTCTTTTCCTTCATAGGGATGTGTATGTCTCCCTGTGTTCCCATCAGCCCTCCCTTTCTTATTCTCTCATGATATTTATATAAAACACTTCCCTTACCTAGCGGTCCTTAATCGGAGAAATATCCTCTAGAGTATTCCCTTGAAATGTCTAAATGTCGAACTAGCCGTTCGGACCGAACTGAGTGCTCGACCTCGACCATAGCTAAATCGTTCACTGATATATTGCTTCATATACGTGACTTCAGCTTGATTGACTCCTGGCCGTTCTTCCTTAAGTAGAATTCCTTTGATCAGATTTTGACCTGTACAGATCTCTGTCTCGGCTGGTTATCTTTTGTTTCTATTATAAAAATAGTATAGACTTAACCACATTTGCCATTCACTCTTGATATACGTCATTTCAGGAATGAGAGTGCCACTAGCTTTATATTTTATAAGCAAAGAGCAAACTGTTCCACATTGTAAGCGAAAAAGAATTATCTTTCTTGATGATTCAGAGTAAATTCATTGGAAGTAAATTTATATGCATGTAGAGTGGAACCAGAAGTCTAATGAAGTCAAAAAAAATGATATTACTAAACAGAATCACCAAAAAAGACAGACCGAGAACAGAGGTGCTCTATTTCTTGAAAATAGATAGAAAGACCAGTCCATCCAACTGCTACTACTACTACCAAAAATAGTGAAGCCTAGTTAAAGGAGGATAGTATCTTCCCCAAACCACTTAGCAAACTGTACTTCAACTTGGAAAGCCAACACTATGACCACCGCGTTGAGCAGCTTAGATCATCTAGTGGAAAGCCAACACTATGACCACCGCGTTGAGCAGCTTAGATCATCTAGTCAATACATATAAGTAGTTGTCGAACAATGTTATATCACTGTCATCGTTATCATTACAGAAAATATATCCTACATCAATTGTTCTCGGCCAGAGTCCTACTATGAAACTGATTAATAATAGCAGCATCTGGTACACCTTCAAATACATCACTTTCTGCATAACACACTAAACAATCATTGAAGAATTCTTCATCAAATTTTTTGCGCATTTCACTTTTGATGTTTCTCACCCAAGAGAAGGATCTTTCAACACTTGCACCAGCAACGGGAAGAATCAAAGTCAATTCCAAAAGCAAATAAACAAGTGACCATGTTAAATCCAACTTTGTTTCAACCAACGCCTTGGAAAGATCACCAAGTCCCTTCAGGTTTGAGAACCTATTGTCAGATTGTCGCATGTAAACAATGTAATCGTCAAGCTGGCTAATGAGTTCTTGAAGCTTGTTGTCACCAAATTCATTTGGATAATATTTTGCTAATCCCATTATCTTGTCCTTGTCATAATTAGCAAAAGAATTTACTGGACTCAGACTAGCCATACCAAGAAGTAAATCATTACTCACTTTATCAAAGCACCTGTCAAGCTCCTGCAATTGTGAATCAATAGCATCGAAAACTTCCACGCGCAAGTGATGTGAATATATGACGGTAGAGACCTTGCACTTCAACCTTCCAGGTAAAACATAAAGATCGTCCATTTTAGGAATTAAAATGTCATGTTTGACACAAAATGAAGAGACGTCATCCATCAGATGTTTCCATTCACCATCTCTCATCATTTGAAATTGTCTCTTTGCCGTGCCAACAAGATTCATCGCATTTACAATTTCTTGATCTTTTTTTGTAAAACTATGTCCAACTCCTTTGTGATAGCCAGTACCTTCAACATGAAGTGCAGCTTATAAACAAATTCAAATGATTGTAGATCTTCCAGAAGATCTTCTGCCCACATTCTCTCAGGAGAGCGTAAACTCGCAATAACTTCTAACACATGAACAACTGATGAAAATATAGTAATGACACTAAGCAATGACTTAAAATGAGATTTCAAAGGAGCATCACCTAATCTTTCAAACTCATACTTCTGACTGGAGTCTCGCCAAGTCAGAACTTTACCAAAATTAAGCAATTCTTTCAATTTTTCATCTTGATTTTCTTGTGAAATAGTTTGGCGCTCAAAAGAAGCTCCTACCACATTCAGCACAAAAGTGAGTATAGCAAAAAATCGACCAACATCACATTGTCTTTTAGCAACGGTTACAAGTGTGAAATGTAGTGGTTGGGCAAAGCAATGAGTGCAATTCGCCAACGGGTTATCTTGCAAAATCAATGTCTTAAGACCATTGATATCTCTTTGCATGTTAGTATCTCCATTATAACCTTGTGCACACATCTTAGATAGACTCAATGAGTAACCCATAAGCAAAGAATCTATTTTTTCTTTCATAGATCGTGCAGATTGATCAATAACTTGAATAATACCAATGAGACGTTCCGTCAGAATCACCTTTTTGTCAACATATCGCAAAACAATTGTCACTTCTTCCTCATCATAGACACCCTCCCATTTATCGACTAATAATCCAAATTAATCTCCATTTAAGTCATCAACAATGATTTTAATAGTTTCCTTTGCACAAGCATTCACAATGTCTTTCAGGAAAGTTGGGGCAATCATGGTTCGATGCATTTCAGCATTTTCTAGTATAACTCTTGGGCATCATGAACAAAATGATGCCCGTAAAATTGCAAGAGCGCCTCAAAATTACCTTCTCTTTCCAAAAGTTTTTTCTCATCGTCAGCCAAAAATGACCATCCATGTTTTAAAATGAACCTTGCAACATCAATTGAAGCATTTAAGAGAATTAGATACTCACTTTTGGCTTTCTCAGAGTCGTTGCAATTAGCTAAGTTCAAAGTAGCAAAATGATTGAAATCAATATCAATATCAATATCACTAGAACTAGATGAGGCTGATCTACTCCCATTCTCGATATATTTATCCATCTCGATAGTAACTTACTAAAAAATAGAAGTTCAATCATTCAGACAACTATTTCAAAGATATCCATCAATCACTTATTTCTAAGACTTATTTCTTTTTTATTATTATTATAAGTAATCCAAAGACTTATTTAAAAAATCATTCAAATTTAATAGAACATTCTATAATCAACAACAAACCACTAAATGAGTAATTCGTTGCCTCCTAGTTGTGTATATGACTTCTTCCCTTCCATGTCTTTCACATCACTTAAAATACTAAAACAATTCAAGTTCTTTTAGCTTTCAACCACGCTTTTAGGATTTTTCATAAAACAACAGGTATCATTCAAACTTCTGTATGATTTTTGTACAAAGAAAAAGTTCTACCAAGAAGGAAAATTTGGATAATATTGTTTACAAAACTTCATGCATTTAAAGATAAAAAGAAAGATAAACTTGTAGTTGACTAAACAGCCTACCAACTCAAAGAAAAAACCCCTCTAAAGATAGAGAAACAGCTATAAAAAATACTCAGCATTTTCCAAGAATTGAAAAATAGAATTACTTTACCAAGAATCGCTATGTAGACTAAACGAGCAGCAGAATTACAGTACCAAATCAAGCTGGGTGGCTGAAGAAGTAGTACTTCTCGTTGATGCTTTCCCGCCGCTGTTGACTATTTTTGCTTTTTCCAATTGACTAGGGTTTTATTACATCCTTTGTTTTCCGCTCACTCTTTTTTTCTTTCTTTTTCCCCTTTTTCTTACTCCATTTCTGTAAATGTTTTTGACTTAGACTCTTGAGTGATGTGCATCAAAACCCTTAATCGATTAAAAAAATAGAAATTTCCCACAGAAATCAACTATTATAGCAAATTCAACATTTTTAAGTTTAACGCGGAGTAGCATTCTTCGCTAGTTGCAAAGTAAAAGATTAGGAGCCCGTTTGGCTTAGCTGATTTAGAGTAGCTGATAAGCATTAGGTGCCGAAAAGCACTTTTAAGTGCTGAAACTGATTTAAAAAATAAGCAGTTACGTGTTTGGATAAAAGTGCTGAAATTAATAATAAGCAGCTGAAGAACTGGGTATACGAAGAGTTTTGTTTTAAAAAGAAGTATTTTATGGATAGAATAGTAAATATTTTGGTCAAACCTAAAGTGCTTATAAGCTGAAATTTGATAAGTTGGGAGAGACCAACTTATCGCTTTTGGCTTATTTTTGGCTTGTAAGCACTTTTAATTTTACCAAACGCGTAGATAAGCCAAAAAGTACTTATAAGCTAGTTTGACCAGCTTATAAGCTTAGCCAAACACCCTCTAGATTTGATTAATGTAGTACTCAAAATCCAAATTTTGGACATTACATTGTATTTCAATAAATATATTTTAATGGACATATTCAAGATCGTTGAAATTTTTAATAAGGTGAGTGTCCATATACAATTGACAAAATTACATCATATATCACTTGGACCATACAGCCCATCCGAAAATAGCCCACATTTGAAGCCCTAACCTGGTTAGCCCAGGTTATATATGTTTTGAAATTTTGTTTTCACCTGGCAGCCCACAAATATTATTAACGGTTTTCGCTTTAATTTTTTTTTCTCTCTCTCTTCTTCTCACGCTTTTCTCAAAGAAGTACGAAGGCAACCTTCCTCCATAGTTTGGTCTCAAGTAATTTTTCGAGCTTTCACTCTTATTTTCAGGTAATTTTCGTTTCATTTTATGCTTTTACTACAATTTTGGTTTTAAATTTTGTTTTATTTTTATTTTTTACTTTTCTAATGTTGAATTTTTTTTTACAATGTTGTTGTGTTTTCCGTTCGCTTTTGTGTTCCTTCTATCTTCGTTCTGGGCCTAAACTTGATGTTTCAGTTTGCATGCTTTGTTATTTCAAGTTTTAGGGTAGAATTTATTTTTTGAGTTTTGTTACAATTTGGGAAAATTGGCCTCTGTTTTGTGTTCATGGCCTTTGTTTTTGTTTTGATTTTTGTGTTTTCCTTCACTTGTCTTCACTTTTGTTAAAGCTTTGTTTGTTTTATTGTAGAAAATGCGTTCAAAAATACCTGCTTCCAAAAGTCGTATGAAGGTTGCTGGAAAAGGTGTTAAGCTCGATTTTGCGAAAACATTGAGGGACTTGCCCTCAAGCCCTGATTCTGAAGCGAAAGTGCATGTCCAGGCCCTCGATGATGATGATTTTGAGTCTCCTGCTCCTCCAAAAAAGTCGCAACAAGAGAGCAGTCGAATGACTCGTTCGCAGACGAAGAATACTCCTACTCCAGTTAAATCATTGAGGGACTTGCCCTCAACCCCCAATTCTGAAGCGAATGCGCATGTCCAGGCCCCCGATGATGATGATTTTGAGTCTCCTGCTCCTACAAAAAAGTCGCAACAAGAGAGAGCAGTCGAACGACTCATTCGCAAACGAGTAATACTCATACTCCGGTTAACATTGTTAGAATAAGGAGTAAGAAATGTGGGAGACATGAAAAATTCAAAGAAAAGCTGAAAGTTGATTTGGTTAATGAAGATGATGTAGGCCCCATTATTAAACCGAAAAAGCGAAAGACCGAGGTCGTTAAGCATAAAAAGAGCAAGATCAAAGACGATGGTGAGAGTGGTCTTGATTTCATATCCAAAGAACAAAGGATTGCCACTCGCTTGCAAATTGAATGAGAGAAAAGCTAAGCTGAAGGTATTCCCTGTGTTGCTATTAATTTTATACATGCTTATACAATTTCATACAAAGTTATACAACTGTTTATACATCTTTATACAAGTACTGCTACGCTGATTTATACATGTTTATACAATATTTTTAGTATAGTTTTTGTTCCTGATTTCTTTCTTGTTATTTTTCCATATGCAAGATTGGAGACTTCTATATACAATCAGTTGATCATTTACATAACAGGATTAGTTCCCATACCGAGACTGATATTATCAGCATTTTGAAGCAATGTTTGACTGACACGCAGCTTCAAATGTTCCGTGCTAGTTGTTTTGGGTACTTCTTGGACCTGCCTCAATCTAAAATTCAAAATCAACTTATTCATTGTATACTATTGAGGGAAGTCGTCCCAGGGCGGGAAAGGGAGTTGTGGGTTAAAATTAATGGTTGTTTATTGCGTTTTGGCATTAGAGAGTTTGTTGTTATCACTGGTTTGAACTGTGTAGAAGAAGACGCCACTTTCTATGACAAACCAGATGTCAATAGATTTCTAAAAGAGTATTTTCCAGGAGATGAAAAAAAGGCTATAACGAGGGGGCAGCTTCTTCATCGCTTCAAGAAAAACGACTAGAAGTCGGACGAAGATGCGTTCAAGATGGCCTTGATGGTGTTTGTCCATCATTTCATATTCTCAGATGCCAATAATCATGGTATCAACAAAGATGATTTTGATATCATTGAAAGTGGTCAATATCAGGCGTATGCTTGGGGGAAAAAGTCATTTGAAGATATTTTAAAGACAATGAGGGACAGACAGCGTGACTATTTGACAATGTATAGGCTCGGAGGTTTGCCACTTGCGTTACAAATATGAGTGTTACTCTATGGTTGACAAGCATCTAGTTGTTTGTGTAATGTGCCATACATTCGTAATTGGTAAGTCACTGAAACTCCAGCATATGCGGATTTGACTGGCGGGGTGATCATGTCTAGTATCGACAAGGTAAACATTTTGTACCATAATACTTCTTCATATATGATTTCAGTTTTTCTGTAAGTATGTATACTTATGAATATGTCACAAATTCCTTTTTCTACTATTGTAATCCAGTTTTTCTTATTGTAGTTGAACTATAGAAACATTTCCCCTACTCGTGAAGAGATGTCAACTCTGAACATCGCCACGCTTTTTGAAGTTAATGCCGATGATGTTGCATCAGGGGAGGTGCCTGCCTTTCACACTGATAGTTCTATCTCTGCATCTCCACTTTTTCCTTAGAATATGGAGCAACAGTCTAAACGACCTTATCCTCAGAATACGGAGCAACAGTCTAAACGACCTTATCCTCAGAATACGGAGCAACAGTCTAAACGACCTTATCCTCAGAATATGGAGCGACAGCCTAACCCGAGTTATGATCCTTTGGTGCGCATTGATCTGTTGAATGCTGAATTTGAGAAGTTGAGGAGTGTTGTTGGAAAGGTACTGGAGCTTTAGCTTTTCTGTAGTTTATCGTTACTTTTTGTATATACACGATTTTTTGGTTATAAACATGGTTGTTGATTTACTTTTGCTGTTTTTTGTTGTAGTTGGCTGATACAGTTACGACACTCAACAGTTATGTAGTTTCTTCCTTTGAAAAAGTGTTCAGTTTTCTGAATATGAAGCAAACCAAGCAAACGAGGGAGGAGGTTCCTGATTCTAAGGTAATGTTTTACTGATAAAACTAAATCACTCAACAGTTATGCCTTCTCTGAACCGTCACTCAACAGTTATGCCTTCTCTTTCTATTGTTTTTTATTAGATTCGTCAGTACGTGTCTGATGACAATACATCTGGTCTCGGCGAATTTGATGGCTATCAATATGATGTTGTTCCTGACTTAGTCGATCAAGTGAATCAAGATAACACGCTAGCTGACCAAACAGATTTAGGTGTCAAAGCAAACGGGGAAGTTACTGATGGTGTTGATCAGGGTATTTGTTCTGCATTTTATCTTTTTTTGTCTGATTTTTCTTTTCTTCATTTTGAAAGTTTTTTTTATTATTGGTTTTCTCTGTCTAAGGGGCAATAGGTGATGTCAAGGGTGATACATTTTGGGATGACATTGGCGATGAAGATTTAGCTGCGCTTCAGATGTCCCAAATTGTGCTTCACATACCATCCATCATAGATGTAGAAGAGGATTACATTTCTCCTGAACAGTTGGTTCGACAAAAAATACCAGGAAAATATGCCAAATCTCCATATTTGCTAGTTTTTTATTCGGGGGCATCAGGATCGGTGCACAAGCTCATTTTTGATATCAAGCATCCTTTCGCGATCGAAATTGATGATTTTGATCCCTT